CTTTCATGGGTCATACATACCAGCAGCCTTGTGACGCAGCAGTAGAGAGAAATCACTTCACCAGCTGAATTAAGGAGGGAACTTGATTGTGGAAGCCCAATAAATTTAATTGAATTAGCAAGAACATCAGGGGTTACACCAAGGACCAAGTTAAAATCTTGCTTAAATGTTTCATCAGAAGGATGTTATGATATGGCAGAACTCTAAATAAAATTGGAGAAATACAAAAGCACTAAAATAATGGCTTTGGGCTTGATGAAGGCTTCCCTGCAAAAATTATTTTTTCAGCCTTTTGTTATCAAATTAAAAGATTGATACAAACACAATATTGACAGTTTTTCTTTTACTTTTGGGCAGTGGTAAGTGTCACAGATTCCAAAATAATTGTTTAATTTGTCGATTTAAACATTTCACATTGGGACATTTAGAGGACTGAGGACTAACTGTGTTTAATAATATAAAAAAATCAAAGGTGCTTACATCACATCAGATTATCTAGTAGAAACTTAAGTATTTAGAAAAGAAAAAAGTGTATTTACGAGGGACTGTGGTTGTAAGTTTAATGTTCACCTTAGGTAATTTTGCTCCGTATTGTTCATACCAATTACCATAAATCTGCATATCAATAAGTGAGAACAGATGTCAGTTGTTATAAGCGCTTGCCAATCAGAGCCTGTTAGAGAATGACAGATGGATGGTAATAGAACATTCTCACATGTCCTATTAGCATGTGTGCAGCACATTCTCTAACTTTTCGATTTAACCAATGAACGCAATGGACAATTCCAGTTCAAAACCAATCCCAGCATCTCAATTAGGCCCCCCCCACAATGCAAGCCAGTTCCTTTCTTTCTGATCTCCCTATTTTTACATTCTCTTTTATTTGCTTTCAGAGTAGCCCCAGGGTGTTAAAGGGGCATAGTCAGGTCTTGATCCCTGCTAAAAGTATTGCCCATAGACTACATGAAGACAGTAATGGTACTTGAAATTTGAAAATTAAGTAAAGCAAAACATATGCATCTCTAGTTAAATCTATTTAATAGCTGTATTTATAATGCACTAAATTAGGTTATTTGGTGTTTCATGTGCTAGGAAGTGTGTGTTCAATTGCTCTCTACTTTAAGTACCAGACTAAATTTCCCAATCCTTCTTTAAGCACCCTTGTAAGGGATTACAGTGCCAATTGCTTTCCACAGCTTAATCCCTCCAGAGAAGAAAAGCAACAAATATTACTCTTGACAGAAAACTTGAAGGCTGGTGTTAATGTTGGACACAAATGACTGAAAAAACACTTTAATGAAAAGGCATGCACTGCAATTACAGAACCAAATGAAAAACACAACATTTTCAATTGAACTCGATTCCTATTTTTTCAAATTATTTGTGACAAATGTCGGCAAGTAGCTGAAAAAGAATGGCACAGGGAAAAAAACATGCTCTTAAAAACATTTCATTATTTATTTTTGCAGTCTAGGACTGTAAATAGATTGGTGCCATCCCTAAACTAATGTTTAATCTCAGCTCAGAGACTGACCATATCTATTTTGGGCCTGTAAGGTGCCATCTGCATGACCTGAACAGATGTTTTGTACAATATTAACCTCGGAGAAACTGTATGTTACTGGCACAGACTGTGCGTATCTTGAAGCTGCCTGAAAGCTCACATCAATTTGCTTGTCCTTGTAATTAACCAGACTCCTCAAGACTGCGATATCAGTGACAGCGGGGTGACACTATCTTGTCATCTTTCTAAAAATAAACCAAATTACTTTTAAAACCAGATTCACCTTTTGAGTATTCCTTATTATCAACATCATCATCATCATCAATATGGGTTTGCTTCCACACATTTTCAAAATCCTTACTCACGAGATGCCAGTGAGTTGGGAGAACTGGAGCCCACATTCCTGAGATGCAATTAAATTTCTTTATCCACATGACAATAAACACTGCAAGTCTGTAATCTCTAATATGAGCTCCCTGAAGCATTCTGCACCTCATTAATACAACAATTTACGTGGCATTCCTAGTTCTTTTTAACCTATTATGCTTGACTTAAAAAACTGAGTAAAATCCAAACCATTAAAGATGCTTTTCATATTCACAGAAATGTTTATTTAAACATATGATGTAGGATAATCTTAAATTCACTAAAATACTGCTTCAGCTGCCTTAACAGATGTCAACAACAAACAATACTATCAGCACGTGAAAAATTTAAAATGAGAAGAAGCCAATCAGCCTGTCTTGTTCATTTGAAGACCTGCACGAAATGCTGCAAAATTGTGTCTGTGTTATGAAAACATGCTATAAAGGACAGTATCTTAAGATACAACAGAAACGATTTCAGCATCAGTTTGTGAAATGAAAATTAGATTTTTAATCTGATATATATATTGTATTTAGGTAGGTGATTTTATATTTACAAATTTTCATTCTTAAAACAATAATACACTTAAAAAAACTACGCACAGTGAGAGTTGTATGGTTTGCAGTTATGTGTTGATGGCAGTACAAAACAGTTTGTGGACTGAGCTGAGAGACAGCATTTGAAAGCTCTGCAATATTGCTGCAGTGAGCTTTTTTTAAATTAAACTTCTTTGTGCCTCAATAATTTGAAGGGAGCAGCAGGGTTACACAGAGATTTAAACTCATATAAGTAAAATATACGTGTCTGGCGTTGAAGAGGATGCTGTACAAAGTAAAAAACAAGCAGGAGCTGATGTGGCTTGAAAAAGCTAAGGCAGTCCTGTCACACACTATCACTTGCTAAAGAAGAGCCTCCCAACATCCATGGGATACGAGGCATCAGTAATAATTCTTATTTTTTCCAGGAATCAGGGCTAGAAATCTGCTACTTAGATCCACGGGGACACTATAGTTACTTATCATGGGCTGCAGTGCTTCACAAGAGAATGCATTTCATTTGATGTATAAAGCTTGTGTATTATCTCCTTGCAAAAATGTAATACTTTAAATCTAATATTTTATTACCATTGGGTACTGCTATTGTCTGTGGTATTTTTAAAAAGAGGAATGAGTAGTAGGGGGCTGCATCGACTGCCTTAATTGCTTTTTCTGTCAAATCCAAGCTTTCTTCCTAGCTCTGGGATTCCTTTGGCTTTTTAGTTCATCCTTGCACCCATAATGAGCATCTGTGCTCTGTTGTGATCTTCTTCCGCAGTGCGTGCAACCCAGAAACTTAAATGGAAGGTCGCTCAGTAAGACTGACCTTAAAATAATCTTCATACATCAGCTGCTAGAGTCTCTGCTCATGTTAGAAACTCCACAACTATGTGTCTTTTCTGAAAGCGCTATCCCTTTGATTCCTGACACACAAGATTTTGTTCATTAACCAAAAAGAATCAATCACATAATCTGGATATCTGAAGCTTCTAAACCACAAGGGTGCAAATGTAATTGCGCTTCATTGAACTTCTGCAATGTTTAGGTATCCTATTTAAAGTAGATCGTGGCTTCTTTTCCTGACACAATTAATACCTAACAGGCTTCCATTTAGAGATACAAAGCTGGAGCCGGAAGTCTGAGTACACTGGGGGGAGGAAAAGTTTAGATACTCTTTGGATTCACAAAAAGTGAATCTGAGAATAAGAAATAATGACGGAAATATACCAGGAACATTCTAGACAGTAAGCAAACATTAAATGCTGTGAATAAATCTTATTGTTCTCTCACCGCCTCCTTCCACCTACACCAGACAGAGAGAAAATAAAGATCTTACTCCTAGCCTGGATTTTCAATTTAGCACAATTCATATGCAATAAATGCATCTGTGTGAGTAAGACATCTTAGTTGGGCATACCTTAGAGAGCTCTTCATTCTTGTTATCTCTGCTACATAATTAAATAATCCCCTAGTGTCGATCAGAATCATAAAAAGAATTGGCAGGAAGTCGGAATCTGCAAGTTTGGAGTTACAACAGCACAAACATCTTGCATAATAAAATAAAAACCAACCTGTCATTTCTTTTTATAAAAGCAGCATATTCCATATTTGGGAATACAGTACACAAACTTCATCTTAAAATGACTGTGTAAAAATGCTGGGGCAGGCTAATTTAGAGATTCATATCAGATTTGTTGAAAAGCTTGCAGAAAATCCTTTGGAAAATAGTGAGAAGGCAAGAGGTTTTTAAAATTGTTTGCATAAGCAACTTACCTGTCACACTTATAAATATCCACCCATCTCAATTTCAGTATGTTACAAAGATATGAAGAGAGTAAAGCAATCACAATTTCTCATGTTTAATTAAGTTTTTATGTTTGATCTTAGATATTGGTTTCTAGCAAAAGACACTTCTTTACTTCCTTTCACTTCGTTCTTTAGTGTGATAATGAGGTTGATTAACTTATTAAAATCAGAATGAAGTGCATTACGAAGGAACATATTGGAAATCTAGATGTATTTAATTCCCTGTTCTTAAATGGGCAAGCTTCATGGAAGTGATCAGAACTGAAACCTGGTTAAAAGGTAATTCAGCTGCTAGAGGTGTAATCCTTCATACAATGGGATACCACTCTATCACATATCTGCTGTCATGAAGAAATGCTTCCTATTTTTAATTTTGCAAAAAGTATGCACAATTAAAAATGAAATTATTGTCCTGGAATATCTTAAACTGCACTCTACAATTGTTATTTGATCTGATTTGCCTTCCAGCTTTTTTGTTGTGATCATTGGTGCTTACTGCTGGTACTTCTGTCCCCCCCAGATGACAGACCCAAGTCCCATTGAAACATTTCAGTGCCAAAGCTCTTTAATCAGCAACAGGAGTCAGTGTTGATGGTTCCCAATGTATTCCCAAGGGTGAACAGTATTTCCAATTTTGTCCTGCTAAAGCAAATGGCAAGGCCTGAGTCTGAAAGCGTGAACACCTACTGAGAATGGTCTGACCTGAGCTAATGTATAAACCCATTAGCTATTATTATACCAAGGATACTGAAAAACAAGCAGTCAATATTAAGAGTGATTTCACTCACCTGCCATTTGCTGAATGCCACTAAATGCTCCCAGGTTACTAGAAGACGTGGCTTGCTGAAGAAGCTAAAAGCAAGAGACAAAAAAAAAATCACCAAAAGGTACATTTTTCATCCCTCAAAGTACACACCCCTTGCCGAGGTACAGGTAATGCTCACACTGCTGAAACAGAAAATTCCTGGGGCTCGAGCTTGCTATGAATATTAAATCAGTCCACAAAAACAATTAAGCAATTTACAAGTTTAACAACCAGGTGTTAAATTTGTTTACAACAACATGCTGTGACTAATTAAATCTCTCAATAGCCTTGTGCTTACAACATCATAACTGTCAATCAAGCTTTTTTTAAGCATATGATATAGTGGGGTACATGGAAAACAAGTGGTTATAAAAACTCCATTGAGAATCTTATTTTGGCTCACATTCTGTTTTGGCTTGCATTATTTTCTTTATTTCTTTATTTTTAGTTAGCACAAAGGGATTGAACATTTGTCCTGAAAGATATGCATCTCTCTATATAGATGCATATATAAACTAGTGAATTACAGGAGTTATGCAACAGGAGTTGATGAAAATGGCCATGAGGAACTGTATAAAATACATTCAGCACTAAAATGCTGAAATTATTTTTGCAGACTGATTTTTGTAAAAAAAAAAATGTGCATGTCCTTAACAGTAATTAGAAAAACCTAGAGTGAACGGCAAAGAACAAGGCACAGTGACTCACTGCCAGGTACTGTGGTGTCAGTCCACCCAATCCAGTGAGGTTCCCCCAGGTGGCAGTGTTGAGCTGCTGCATCTGCTGGGCCAGCTGCTGCTGAAGACGTCTCTGCTCCTTGTCCTTCTGAGTATCGGCAAACTTCACCACAATTGGAGAAGAGCAACCCTGCAGGGGAAGCAGTTTGGAAATTCAGTTCTGCTACAAATAATAGCTGGTAACACAAGGCAATGTGGCATATTTAACCAAAATACCTTAAGATTTATAATTATTATAATTATTATTTTAAAATACTATTTTTTTGTGCTGCAATAATTCCTTTTGGCGCTGCAAGACAGCATAGCGTTCACATTCTCAGCTTTTGATGAGCACCACAATTTCTGTAACAGAACTTACTTTAAGTTTTTATCTGTACATTAGAAGAGACGCGTCACTTTCTCTGCCCTCTTAAACTACAAAAACATACCTACCAATACAGCATTATGAGACACCCAAGATTAAATAGCCATTTACAACTTCTGCAACAAAAGTGGTAAGGTCTTGGAGAATAAGGGAGGGCTTGATAGAATTCCAGAAAAAGGTGTGGAAATTGACTAAAGTTATACTAAAGTTCCAAAATCACAGAAATGAAAAATGTATATTAATGTGATAGGCAAGTCAAAATGCATGAGAAGCAGATGCATGTATCACATAAGTATCTGAAATTCAAGAAAAGACGAATTTAAAGTTTTCGTGCTGGTCCTTCTAAGCTGTCAGGTTTCCTGTTGCATTTCTGAAAACAAACAAATGGGGTGAATAAAAGCTCCACTTAATCACTGCCCATGAAATGTTGCTGTGGTATGAATGGATTCAGGGTTGTCACAATGTTAAGGTACACAAAACACTGCATTTCATGACCTCTAAATTAAACATGATGGGATCCAATCACCGAAGCAGGGCCACTTGCAATCCAAACCACATATCACCATGTCAAACAGGCTGCAAACAATCTTGTACTTCACCGTGATGCAAAAGTAAAATGGACTAAAATAGTGATGTTTACACTGAAATATTTAACAGATGCATTAGGATCTTGACATTTGACTACACATGGACAAGCACTAAACAAATACACACATAACGGCTCATTGACACGGGAAGTGGCTTAGCAGGCACATATTTATACAGAAGTAGAAAGCACAACAGAAGAACAAGATTTCAATTCACAAGTTATTAAAAGTCACTGCAAATTTCAGCCCTAATACTTCAAAACTATTGTTAACAACACAAATGTATAATATTGTATCTGAATCTGTGCCTACAATAAATCAAATATGAACTAGTAAACTACGGAAACAGCTTTTAAAAATGTTACAAATAAAACTGAGTTTATTACATTATACCCTGGACAACTGTAGGTATGGGCAGTGACACCCAATGAAGCAGATAGTAAAACTCTTCATCTTCCCTTATTGGCACTGAATGGTACATAACATTTCACATTTCACATTTCAAAAGACTGTAATAAACATAAGACTGCATATACTGATGCACAATGAAAACCCAACAGTTTATGCTTTCCATAAACAGTTCAATAGTCAGAAAATATATTTGTCGAATAGCATCGTTTATTGGGATAACAAAAATGCTGATCTCGAGTGGTGTGTACCCAGTGTTTGGTATTAAGTTAAATTTGCCAAAATAAATCAATTCAAAATCTGCAAATACTGTATAGCCATTAAAAATGACAAGATTTTAATTAATGCCAGAACAGAATAAAATATAATCGAGGCCCTTCCTGAGTACTCATGATTGCCTGGTTGCTATTGATATATTGGAAGGTATGTCTGTCTCTGAGAGAAGTGGACAATCACCACACAAAACTGAAGTATCCTGCTCTGTGTGGGAGGGGTCACATTCTGGAAGGCATAAGGTCACCACATTGGCCCAGGGCCATCAGATCTCTGTGAACTACATGATTAATCATTTTGAGACTTTAGTGGCTACAGTATGAGTAATTCCATAAAGAAATAACCCATGAATATCACAATATTAACAGCCTGCATGAAAATGATCTGCATACTTGGATGCCATTGCCTCCTTCTCTGGTTAACAGAGGATTTGAGGTGGCAGCAAAGAGAGAGGTGGAGCATTTTTTACCAATAACTAGCACTCTGTCCTTGACAGACCTGACAGAAGACTAAGTGTGTGGAAACATCATGGTGAGTGTTATGCTGACTTTTGCATTGTTCAAGTCAATCAGTGGGGAAGTGAAAGTGTGGTGATAAAATTTCCTTTATCACAAGAATGCCTTTGGAACAGATTGAAGGCAAAATTAGTCCTTATATATTATAATATATAATATATTATGGTATTATGCTAATTAGTGCAATACATGACAATGACAAAGACCCTGAGCTCTCAGTTTTGCCATTCCTGCAAGCACATTGCACGGATGACGGCATAACTAATTAAAAAAACAATGTTGAGGTGTTGTTATTGCTAAACCCTTATCCTGAACAAAGTCCCACAAAATATCTGTGGAACCATTTATTCAATACCAACAACAGGAGATAACAAACCTGGCTAAACTTTGCAAGCTGGCTACAGCTGCACAGGAAGATTGGTGAAACGTCCCACAGCAATCTGTCCAGAGGCTGATCAGGCCTGATCAGGTGTTAATGCTCACTGTGATCATACCAGATGCTTACTTTGTAATGTTTTCATTTTAGCAATATGACAATTTTTGTTCTAAAGTAATATTATCCTTCATTTCTATTTTTGTTATTCTTTTCTGTGATTGTTTTGTTATTTAAAATTTTTGACTGAATCCATTAAACCCAAGTGTTGCATTTTATTGTGCACCAGTATACTTCTTTAGAGAGAAACTCTGACCTTTTCCCTTTATAAGCCTCATTCTTCTCTGTAACAGTGACTGACACAGGATAAATAATTTTACTGCTCACTTGAACAGTTCACAAGGCAGAATAATAAGTAAATAATTGGGCTATAAGCTTTTTGGATTTATAAAGGCGTTTACACAACCTGAAAATTTCATTTTTTGGTTATGATGATAAAACAATCTTTTTAAGGAGTAAATCTAAAATGTTTCCTTTTGCTACCACCTTAATAATATTGGAATTCTGTCAATTAAATATCTTTTGACATCCCTGTGATTGAAATTGTTATGCAGAAAACAAGTTTAATTTATAAAATAGTCAAATGTAGCAAGTCCATCTATAAAACCAAACTTCCACTTTATGGTTCTGATAGAAAATCCCCAAAACAAGTGCAGACAATGACATTAGACCCATTTCTTGTGGCACGTAAGTTATTTGTATTTCCTTTATAGAATATGAGGTTTCAACCTCATTCTTAGGCTGGATAATACCCATTTACCTATGGATCTTCTACCCCATTGACTACAACACTGGTACTAGTCTTAAGTATATATTTTTTGTGAAAGGACCTCCTATTATTCCCCTAATGCAAACCAAATTATCTCCATTTTACTGTTTAAAATAACCAAGATTTTTGCGATAACCTTATGTTTAGTAAAGGTTGGAGCTCCAACTCTCAACAAAAGGTACCCAGGTGGACTGAGGTCAGGTTGAAACACAAAGATACAGACCACAATCGCATTAAGAGTTTACCACCTCCATTATGGCTGTTCCCAAGCCAGGATCCACAAGATCAGTGCAATGCTGTCAGTAAAATCACACAATATGTTGCCAAGATTGAGGAGTTTGACGTTTTTGCTTCTAGGGCAATTTACTTGACTGATGAGGAAAAAAAACTGGCCTCATGAATGTAAAGAGACTAGAATTTTTGACCACACACAGAGGACATTTATGGTTGAGAGGCTTTTAAAAATCTGGCAACCTCACTACCAAAGCAGATCAAAATTCTTCATCAACCGAAATACGGAAGAACTTTATGGTGGTCAAATTATACAAGACCAGAGTGACCAGAATTTATCCAGGACACTAGAGTTAAGTCTTACAAATGGTGCCATAGGGTTTTCAATGACTTAATATTCAGTTTAATCCCTCATCGAAAGGATAACATAAACTACATGATAGTATCCACACTCGCTGTCCCGCAGTGATAGTTATGCTGATTGTTGAGACACCGGTTTTGGAGATTCTAGTCTAGTTGGAAGAGTGCCACCTACTGGTCCACCGACATGACCTACAGCATCGACCTGGTTTTCCTAGCAGGTTTCTCATCCCAATAACAACCAGGCCCACCCTTGCTTAGCTTCTGAAATCTATTAAAATAAGGGTAGACGGTGGTAAATGTGCTTCCAGTAAGCTCCATCAGGAACCACTACTCTGAACCCCATCTGAAGGAGTGCAGCCCCTAGTGTACTAATACAGGCTGGCATGTTTTTTTGTCTGAAGCATGACTGCAAAGGACAGAAATGGGATGAGCACGCTCTAGAGCATATCCTTGCCCTGACAAATTGCAAAATCCTGTGCAGCATCCCAGCTTTTATGTTTTTGTGTATCATGGAAGAAATGGGAGCCAAGGGCACACACTGCTGATTATGCTGGAATAGAGCAGCATACTGTAAAGCTGACAAGAAAAGAATGGCAGTTTAGGTCACACAACCTTGGGACACATGAAGACCCTCATTTATTCTTTTCAGCGGGACACAATCTCATTTACAAATATGACTATACACTTTCCTTGGGGATCTCTATAAGATGTACATTACTATGAATCAGATCGTTTATCTTTGTCTAGTGTGCAGAAATCTCCACTGAATGGTTCAGCGTCCAATTCAGGTAAAATGGTTAATGTAGATCATCAATAGCAGGGCGGCACTGCTACAGTACCTGAAGACAGAATGACAAGAAGTGACGGCTCCTCTGTTGTATCATCTTTACTAGTAGAAGAACCGGCAAGAATTTCAGTACCCTTATTGAACCAATCTGATTTGAATGGACAGAGTGAGCCTGGAGTGCACAGAGAAACCCCAAACTCTTTTACAGCCACGGGATTGAGAAGATAAGTGACTGCCTAGTGAAAGTGAACAGGAAAGAAAAGACTGGATTGTTCCACATCATTGGTAAGGAACTAGAGTAATGGTATGGAAAAAAGCAGTTCCTGTAACACAGTGAAAGAAAATCCGCTCATATACTGTCAGCCAAAAACACAGAGAAGGCATTGTAGTGGTCACAGCTGGAGGAATTCAGCTCGTCCACAGCCAAATGGGCAAGCTCCAAATCAAGGCAATTGATAGAATGAGTGTGGGCAACACCCCTGGTCATGTTTACTGAGGAGCTTTTAACACAAGGTGCTGGCACTGACCACAGCAATGACAAACAACTGTTTCCAGATTAGCAGTCACTTAAGTGAGCAAGGCAGAATTACGAGTTCTTTGGACCAGCTCTGCTGAGGACTGAAGTTTGTGCAGCAGCCTCAGTTCTGATGCAATCGTGTGTGTGATGTGGTTTATACAGAACTCATGTTGGGGTAATCTCAAAGGGCTCCACATCACATCCAAACACGCGCACACTCGCAGTGAACTCTGCTATAAAAATTCCTGCCAAATGTATGCTTTAGGGGAAAGAAGACCCATAGGTATTAGTTGTTCCAGCCACTGGTGGTATAAAAAAGTGGATTTTTCTAGAGATTCACTACTTTCAGTATTTTCTTTACCATTGTATGTGCTGAGATAGGGGCTGATTTAGCCCCAAAAGTATCAAATGGGTTTTAGATATTCTTCGCTTCTATTTCTTTGTTCATGTTTGATGATGTATAACAGGCACATAAAACTACACAAACACCATTTTGATCTTAGTATCCTTAGTGTTTTAACCTAATGTACTAGCATTGATTCACATGATTAGCAAGATTAAAATAAAACAATTCAAGGTTTCACTTACATATGTAGAGGAAACAAGTTACTACTCGTGATAAATTTGAAAACTTTTGTATCATTAGAGCTGCTAACAATGTCCTAAGAACATTTTTCAGGATTCTTGAAATATAAATCTACATTTTTGTACAACAATCTAACAGTTCATTAATTTACCTATTCATCTGACCAGATATTAATGAGCTGAAGATTTTTTCTCAATTGGCCTTTGTGTCAACATCATTTCTTGTGCATTAAGATCATTCTCCTATGGCGTCTGATGTACTGTATATGACATAACGTCCTATTTACAATTGTATTGATAACCAAAAACAACTAAAAGACATGAGTTAAAACATCCAAATCAGACTTTCAAAAATCTAAACAAAAAGAACTGACCCAGTTTATTCCTGAGAGCCTAGCAAAGTGAATATACCACTTAAATTAACAAATAAAACATTTAAACTATTATTTTTTTGTAATGGCACACAATAAGTTAATTGTTTATTATTTACTGACAGGAGAGAACTGAGGCATGAGCTTTTTTTAAATTTAAAAATGACAGAAATGGAAAACATGCAATTTATAAATTAATTTTACCTTCTTTTGGTATACTACTATGAAATTAAAAAAAAAACAATGACAAAAATACCATATTCAGCTTACTTCTTTAGAGTAAAATATCACTTGTCTGGGTTTTACAATGGTAGCCACTAAAGGTCAAGGTATTTACAAAAAGGTGTTCATAAATGTAGCCATGATTTGGCATTCAGTCTGTACTGGCACTAACACTGCAAGGACAAATTGCAGAAAGGAATGAGATCTACAATCAATTTTTATTTTCTAACATTTCTCCCTCTCAGAGACATACCACTACAGCCAGGCAAATCACCCATTTGTGAAATATGGCTGTGAACAAGAATAATATTGATTTTTTTTTACATAAATTTAGGGAAGCAATACTGACTAAACGAAAAGTTTCAATTTTTAACTGCTGCACTGAATATAATAAAACCTGTCAAGAAATGGAAACAAAAAAGGGAAGGGAACAAAACAAATTGCATTGCTACATTTGTTATGCAAAGGTGACATTGACATACATTCTCCAGTTGTTGCAATAAGGTTTTGTTCGGACTGACTGCTGCACAGAACAAAACAATATAACGCAAGCCTAATGGCTTTGACAGCACAGCAAGGTACTTGGCTTCTTCCAATAGTTTGCTGAAACACTGCCCTTTTTGACATTCGCCCCAGAAGAAACTGCTTTAATCATGCGAATTTTTTTGGATAATCAGGAACAGCAACTGCCATGGTTAGCATTTATTTGGGTTCTTTTGAGATTTGGCAAGAATGTGGCTGTGACATTTCCCAACTGATTCCACAAAGAAGAAAACAAAGAAAGGGCAGACGATACAGTACCTCCATGGTCTGAGACTGGTGCATGGCTTTGATTGCATTCTGTGCCATTGCCCTGGTAGAAAACGTGACAAACGCACAGCCTGTGGGGACAATGGGAGAGGGAGCAGGAGAGACAAAAAAAACAACAAGACAAAAGGGTTGGACACTTGTTAAACCAACACAGTCTACGAGAACGGCCACAAGACGACACTGTTCTCAGTAGAACATGAAAATAAACAACAGCTCTAATTATCCATTCACAGCACTGACTTGTTAATCTGGCTACTGGTTAACAGTCTAACAAGAACATGCAAGAGGCGCTCATTTTTCATTGTGTGACACTGAACAGTCTGGGGGTTAAAATGCTAAGGGTTTAGTGTATTGGTTACACTTGATTGAAACCAGTTTCCAGCAATAAAGTATCATGTCTGATTTACATCTCAGGATTTGCATTTATATGTATCTGTTAAATCTTCTCAATCCCTCTCGATGAATTCTCCAACAGCTCTCCCCACCTGGGCTAAAGGGAGCAGAGCTCGTCGTAATGATGAAAAATGCCTGCCCAAGTTCTAAAATGGTGGCAGTGTATCTAGGATGCCAGAAGAAAAATTGCACCCTGACAGAATGCAGGATTATGCATTTTACTCAAATGAACAATTCCAGGATGGGTCCAGTGTTCTACTGTTAATCTCTTTAAAACAATAAAACACTGACTGGTAAATTTTATATTAGACTTGTACCAGACAAAATGGCACATCTTAGATTTGAAGCCGTTTTGAAAAATAATTCCAGAATCTAAAATGTCTGAGATCACAGTGTTTCAAATGGTTGTAATTCATGTTATCATAATGTTCCTAATTATTATGTTTCAGTCTAGTGACTACATTTCAATAGATGTTCTAATGTTCTGTCAATTCTATATTCACTCTATTGTAGCTCCTATTATTCAATCCCAGAAATTGATTAGAAGCTCTGAAATAAGACAATTAAAAAAGCATTTTAAAACCCCAGGCTATGCGAAGGAAACAGAAGCATTTTAAGAAATATACATATATTAACAGATTATCCAAGATGACTTTATTGCTCAGTGAAACATGAAGCGGATGAAACTGATTAGATTATCAAGTCATGACTGTAGTGACATTTTAACCAAACAGTGGCAAGAGAAAGCAGTGCCCAATGACTACCTCAAGAGCCTTTAGCAAACTATGGAGTATGCTCACAATACACTTTTCAGCTTAAGAACACCATCCACTCATGGAAATAATGTCTGTAGGAAACAAAACATTAATTGCAGATTTACTTTCATCCATCTGTACTGCTTCCAAATTCCTATTTTTCTATGTTTAACTCTTAAAAGCCATTACAGGAATAAGTAGGTTAATAGGTGGCAGGAAACAATGGTTTTAGAAACACCTAATTGTGAAATTTAGATTAGATATAGAAAATGTCTGAAAAAAACTCCCAGAAAAAAACAGCAGCATGTTTAAAAAGTAGTGGTAGGTTAGTCCCTAACTGTACAGTGATGCATTTGTTAACAGCACTTTTTTGTATATTATCCAGATTTCAATTTTGGAAACTATTTCTCTGAATGTAAATCATGAACTCCTAAGACGAGTTAATCGTCTCCTGCTTTGTTCTCAAATGAATGGGGAACTGGATTTGCTTTGCCTGCATTTTTGCAGCCTACTGCTGTATTCCTGTCTCCTGTTGTCTATTTGGAAAATTGGGGGATCATCTTAAACACACACTCAGATACAGATTAGAGGGTTTTAGCTGTCCAACACATGACATACAGTACAATTTTCTTTTTCCAGTGGATCTTGGCTAAGCAGATGATGTTCTTGTATTGTGAGCTATACAGTTAACTACCCACAAAGCCCTTTTGCACAAAGCTCAAGCAATCACAACATGTTAATCAGTTAGGTTTTGTTGAGATTGTGTGAATATTCTACAGATGGGAGAGTCCAAATATCTGATATTCTAGGATAATGTGGAACAAAGGTTTTTGTGCCCACTTTATTTAAGAAACACATTGCTTTGTGAGGAAAAAAAATCACAAATACCACTCGCATTTCTGCTTTTTCCTGCTCTGTTCCCCCCACTTTTGTCATAAGGGGCATAAAAAAAGTTCAAAAGATTTAGCTGCAAAGCCAGCTAGACAGCTAATTGCACCTGAAGCCTCCACTCCATTTTCTCTTTATCTCCCTCGGATGATTTGTTGTCTTCCCTGAGACTCAGTAGGAATGTTGTAATTAAAATAATTTATTAAATGTGACGCCTGAGTTTAGAATGAAATTTTAAAATCTTTTATTTGTGCAGCTTCTGGATGTATAATCTAGATACTAACAGAAATAAAAATAGACCACATTCCTCCATTACTTGACTGTAGAACAGTCCTTTAAAGAAAGTAGGGTAAGTCCCAAGGCACAGCACATCCACATGTGGTATGATCCATATTTTATTAATAGCAGAACTGCTAACTAGTAGATTGATTGATATTGAATTTCAATACTAGGCAGTGAAGTGTATAATAAGCTTGGAGGAGGATTTGAACAAGAGCCCTACCTGAAGCCCTATTTATCACAGGCCTGATAAAGCCCCCACCCCCCACAACCCTTTCTGTTTTTGAGAAGTGCGTTATGAGAGATCTTTCAGGCAGCCTCTGGGAATGCTGTTATCTCTTGTAATCTTTCATAATAATAAACATGAAGACAAAAGTTGTAAGCTCAAAAAAGGAGCACAGAGGCTGGAGGGAGGAATGAGATGGCTGGGTAAGAGCGTGGCATCAGATGAAGGCGAGAGTGGTTAGAAACAGTACAGCTCTTGACGTCTTAATTATATTGGCGTAAAGATGAGACGACAACAACAAAAACAACAACAACACAAATAACAGTAATAAGAGTAAAAAATCCCTATTCTGCACATAAAGACAAACAGGTTTGACATCTTTGCCCTTTTGGTTTAGAATGGACGTCTTTTCAATACCTTCGAGTGGGGCAGTCACTACAGGGGTCAATTTCTCTTATTTTTCTGTAAAGCTGCATCCCCGCACTTCCTCAGCACAGATAAATAGCACGAGTGTGAAAGGTTTCTGAAACTAATTTCCTCCCTTCGACAGAATCACTGGGAGGCAAGTAGAACTGAGCGAGAAAGGTATTTGTGAACACATCTATAATACCTGTCATCTCAGTTGAATAGATATCAAGAGTCAGGTGTTGTCATGGCTTTGGGAGTTTTCTATAGAGTAGCTTGAACGTTTGATAACAGGTGTGGTAATGATGAGATGAACAGAATCTCTATTATTTGTGAGGTGTTATCAAGTAAATAATTTATTTGTTTGCATTTCTGCCTTGGAAATTGAGCATTATAGATCCCTTTTTTAATATTTAGAAGTTATTTAATTTTAGGAAATACTTTGCTGAACTTTAAAATTTTTATTACAAATTCTAAGCATGAAACTAAGAGGCAATTAATGTTAACATGTCCTAGTGACAAATATGTAGTGTGGTATTTATTTTGAGAAAATTAAAAAAATTGCCGAACACAAAAAAGACAAGAGCAAGTGGCGGACTGGATCACCACAAACAACACCCAGAACTGTTTCAGCCAGTGGTTGTATGGAACAGTCACATCTTTATGATTATAGATTGTAAAAACTCTAAAGAAATGCTCAAACAAAATTCAGAATTAAGGAATGTAGTCTGTGAAGGAGGAGATAATAAAGAAAGCCAATCATTTCCTGATTAAATGCTAACAATCTTTGTAACAAGCAGTTACTCAAATTTAAACAGATTCAAATACCTCTGAAATGATTACAATTCCATGGGGATTATTATTCTTAATGCATTTACTATACATGTACATTCCTCACAGTTCTAAACACACTGTAAATGGGCATTTCCACCCCTTGTAGGGATGCTTTTCTAAAACAGGAGTCAGCTCAACTGCTGCCCCAAATAAAGGCTACATGATTTTTGCATCTGAATCCTAAAAACATGCATAATGTTTTAAAAGGAACGCATCTCTTCACTTACCCTTCCCTGAGGGTTTTGAGTAAAGAACTTTCTTGTGACACAAGGAGAGGCTTTGATGCTTAACAATGTTACAGGGAAGCTTGGAGTAGAGAGTGTGGAGAGAGAATATAGAGGCTACACTCACCTCTACTGAGCCCATCAGGTCCCCGCAGAATTCTGCACTCCTCAATTTGACCGAATGGGGAAAACATCACCCTGATATCATTCTCATTACATTTCTTTGAAACCATTCCTATGAACAATTTTCTGTCTTCCACGGCTAGAAGATAAAAAATAATGAATGAGTAAAAGGCCATTTCATCTTCTCACTGTGATCAATGCCTCATTACCACATCAAGCTGGGTTTTCAGCGCATTGCTCCCAAATTCCCTGCTGAATGCAGGACCACCCCTTCAGGCCAGCGTTTTCATTTATGAAACATTTCTAATTTCCTTTCGCTGCTTGGTCTGAATCTCTGCAAAAAATTTAAAACCATCTTCTTCAAATGTTATGGAGTCAAAGCTGTATCTTGTCACTTTTTTTCCTTTTATTTAAACACTATCATCTACCCTACCTTTATTCCCCTCCTCGTGGATTGGAAGAAGACATGTTAAAGAATACTCATCGTTTTGGTTTTATTGAAAACCAACTTTCTCCCAATCCCAGGTACTCCACTAATGATTACCGAGATGTACAATTTACAGCACAGTCTGATATGTGTTGAAGACTTACACCTTCGTGTTCAAGCAGTAAAATCAGATCCTTTCTACCAAATGTCTTTAACAAGCTGCCTAAAAGATGCATTTTAATCTGAGTTTATTCATCATCTTAATGCTACAACAAGATTTATTTGTGTGAGATTATATGACTGGTAAATAATTTGGAGGGACTTTAAGATGTAGACACTTCCACACACAGCTTTGCCTTAAGAATCAAAGAATGAATGAAAATTACCTTATGGTAAAATATCTTTAAGACTGTAAATATTAAACACCTTGAGACAAAGCAGAATCTATATCATTACCCACTCTAAATGCTCAACATAAAACCATTTCATGTATTCTTAGCAGGAATAAAGGATCAAATTTGCTGTTTGTACAATTGTGTAAAATTTAAATAATTTTATAACAGAGGGACATGTGTTAATATATCATTAAGTAAAAACAAGCTGTCAGTTTTATCTAAGTAGCTGAATGAGGTTTTCTGCTAACAAAATGAAACTGAAGGACGGAACATAAAGAGCTTACGAAAAGTCTGCAGTTAGTTCTTTACTATTCTTGTCAAAATATATCCACTATATTCTACTACCTGTAGAAGTTGTTATAATGTAATTAAGTTTAAAAATAAGAATTGTAAAAATAAAACATATGGAATGCCCTGGATTTAGCAGTTACTTATTCATTGCAGTGTTACCTGTGCTCTATCAAGCACTGTGAAAGTATGGTGCCTGTGCAAAAAAAGTGCCAACAGGGTGCCTAATGATAGTAGCTGCTACAACTGTAAGCCTTTTAATTTCAATGCCTTGGAGCTAAGAAAAAAAAGTACAATATAGTCCAGGTGGTACAAACATGGGGAATTAGTCAATTACAATGCCCTGAGGGATATAATTCTTCACACAAAGGGCAATTTTAGGTTCCTTTTTATATTATATACATTTTAATTTATGTTCTTACATATTTTGCTAATTAGCTTTCTGTAGATCATTCAAGAAAGCAGCTTCAACACTGTTCTCTTAACCAAAGAAACATACTGACACCGTAACTTAATTTTCTAGGGATTTAAGTGCTTAATAAAGTGTAGATGCAGAGCTGTGCATGTGTGCCCTCAACACATTCGATGTAATGCTAATCCAATTCATTGTTAATGAGAAGACTGACAGACTTTACCGTGAGGCTAAAAGATAAGAAGTCAGTTTCACTCTGGGAAATGAATAGCACACTTGTTTATTTTGTTGTGTAAATTATTTGTGCATTTTAAATAATCACCAGGATATCCAAGAGATAAGTGTTATAAAAGTCAATCCGGTTTATAAATATATCACCCTTGAGAAAGCTTAAGGAATATTCTCTTATTAATTTACAGATCACATAAATGAGTAAGATGCACATCCTTCAGACAAACGGCTGTTTATATTAAAATGTAAGACAATGCACATTAGAGGGAATTTTATACACAGGCTTCTACCTGATCAAAACCCAACTTCATGTTGCAAGGTTTTTAAACAGTGCTGTTTGGCATTATAAGGTGATTTGATATTTATTACACTGAAATACATATTCCCATTATGCCCATTAGGCTTTTTACCTCTACCACTACACTACCTCACACTTGCAATTTATTACTTAACAGACAGCAAACACACTGTTGTAATGTGAATATTGTTTCTGTTCTATAGTGGCTAGAAAGACACCAGTATGTTTATAGTTATTTTTGTTGTATAAGGACACAGCAGTTGACCTATATTCCACATACAGTAACACAGATGTGAGACAAACTACAGTGTGCACTACACAGAAAGTTTACAAGACATACATAGAAAAAGGAAACATCACAGACTGACAAGAACATCTATTCAAGCATCATTTTTTCAACCTATTTACATGCTGAGATTTTCCAAATGATTCCAGTACTGTTTAGAATTGTAATTGTTTTCTTTTAAGGGCTGCCCCTGCAGTACATTCTTCTGGCAGAATGTCTACAGTTTTATTCACCAAACCATGCAGATTAAGACCCCTATTGATGAAAACCCCATTTTGAAATTATGAGAAAGATAAATTGATAAAATGTGTGATTATGATAATTTGATTGACAAAATGCTTTCCTTTCAGCAGTCAGTTGGTTATGAACTCCTGTTAGTCTCCGATACCCTGGAGGGCTGTCCTGTATTACTGTAGTGTATTGTAGGACTCTGCACTGTCTCATTTCATAGTCTTAACATATTGATTATGTGCTCATTCAATTATTTAAGTTACTGACTTGACAAATGAACCACAGCATTGACCAATCACCTAGCCAGTCACTGTGATACCTCCTCAGTTGATTACAGAATAAAAGGGTGTCTAATTGGGGAAAACTAAAGAACCAGTTTCCCAGCCCCACTGGATATCCAGCCTATATGACAAAATGAGCACTGGTTTTGTCTAATTTGAAAACAGTCACTGCATGTTCTGACTTCTTGACAGAAAGTGAGGGGTTGACAGGAAGCTAAGCAATACAAATGACTGGTTTCTGGGCAAACAGTGGCACAGTAATCAAAGGATTTTCTTGTTTTAGTGGCAGTTCAGCTGGTTAATTTAAGAGCATTAGTAGTTACCGACGCTTCGTTTGAGAACTGGTTTCCAATGCTAATTGTGATCTGGTAACACTCTAGTGTACAATCTGTCAAAGTCACACCTGTATCCAGAGCTGCCTGAATTAATTAACAAGTTTTCTATGTGTTAATGCTAACATATGGCACATAATTATAGCTTGAAAATTCTACAGGATTCTCATTTAGATGTTCAAATTTACATTAAAAAAAGGCACTGCTGTCAGCAATAGGCTTTCAGAAAGGAAAACTGTTATTCTCGGTCATCTGCTGAAAGTATTTTAAATGGTTAACGGTGTGACTAAGTGTTCATACATCGTATGCTGACGGATCTCGAGCAATTCAAAATAAAGTTCTGAAGAAACTGAAAACCTCAGAATACATCACCTCTCCGGTGAAATGCTTAAAAGTGAAATCTACCTTTTGTCAAAAGTCTTCAGAATTCAGCACATTATAAGCTGACACTGTCAATCTCCCTTGTAGATAAAACAAATGGTGACATCTTCGGTGTGGTGTGAAATGAAAATCCTCGTAATTACTTGTTCCTTTAAAAAGTACCGCATTCATAAGTAAAAGAATGCTTGCTCTCTTTAAACAAAAAAAAACTGACAGGAATACTGCTGAAGTGTCAGGTTATAAGCAATTCACAAAGTGAATACATGTAACAAAGACTAATTAAATGCTTAAAACGAATGTAATTGTTTGCCTACTGCTTATTTCAGTGAACTAGCATCTGCAGAGGAGTAGCCATGACCTGCCTTTTTACTAGTTACAGTAACAATTTTACTAGTTACTGTTTAAGATGATTCTGCACCTTTTCCATCTTTAGTTTTAAAAACTTAAAAACAAATGACAAAAAATAAACTACCAGCAAGAGTACCGTTCGGCTAAGGCTATCATGTGAAAATCTGTTTGAATACCTGACCAGAATGAATTCTGATCTCTTTTAATGCAACCGACACATTAAAATGATTTATGTATTTGCCTTGGCTACTTAATACAACAGATAACAAAACAGATGTGAGAAAATATTTGAAAAGAATTCAGGAAAGCAATTTGGTTTAATTACTTAAACTTAATCCAGTGTGGTAAGTAATCCAATTTTCAAACTTAACTAAAACATAGGAAAACAATACCATAACTATCTAAGTTAGGTTTTAGCTCTGCTTAATTGTAATTCAGATCTTAGACATCTGCAACAATTGTACTTTGTGACCAGGTCATATTTTTGTTTTTATGTGTAATTCAAATAAGGTGACTATGCCCACACCTAGTGAGATCTCCTGGTAATCCTGTAACCAGTATGGTGGACCAGTAGGTGGCAATAGTCCTTCTTTAACAAATTCCAAAACCAATGCCCCAGTATGGACATTGGGGGGTGCTGTGCTGTATAAGGAGCTGTTCTTCAAATATGTAAATATAAGGTCCTGGACTGCTTGTTCATCAAAGTTCCCATTGCTCTGTTTGTAAGAGTAGGGGTGTTAACAACGGTATCCTGACTAAATTCTGCACGGGGCCTGTGCAATCTGGCCTAATTAAAATTACTCCTTTTTCCAACTGGTGAAGCAATTTGTCACTTCTATAACTTCTGGCAATGTGTACAGTGCACTTATGTGGAGGATGAAGAGGATATACTATATGGAGAGTGCCTTGGGATGCTTTTAGATAAAAAGCACTATATTAATGTAATTAATTAGATATTACTCAAGTGTATATTAAAAGAATTGCTGATTTGAATGTCTGTACTGAAAAGACTGCACTGCGGTTACACGTCCTGTGCAAAATATGAAAAAAGTTATTTAATGTAGTTTAAAATAACAGAAACGTTCCTTGTAAGAACTAGTGTTGATGCTAACCTTCAAACACACACACCAAAGATAATGTGTTGATCATTTATTCTGTGAAGTGGTTCTACAGTATGTCCACCAGAGCAAAGAGAAATACTACATTGCACTTACCCGATGTGTTGCAATAATAGCAGTAGACAGAACAGGTAAAAAGAGTGAATTTTATATCAAAGAGTGATTTATCAAATACATTTCTTAAAGTCTGTATTCATATAAAGAACGGCTGAGCTGGACTACCTGTGGTTATGTAATCCGGTTGTGAGAAGAAAGGGAAAATCAATAATTAATAAACCAAGGGTGTTCTGAGACCTCCTCTGTTTGGACTGTTTATTAAGGAGGGCAAAGTTAACACCACCAGCCGAATGAACCTACGGAAACCTCACACCAGCGTTCTTACAGCAGTCTTGTGATATAATATTACTGGGGGCAAAAATAGCGTACATTATTTCTGGCATGACATGCTGTGCACATATTGTCTTCAGTCAGCGTTTACGAATATAATCGGATTATTGATGTCTTTTGCTTGACTTTGCTTGATGTCCCTTTCTATAATTTGGGGGCCTTCAGATTGGTCCGTCACAAAGAATTGTTAAAAAGCAGTTTCGATAAACTTCACACATGCTGTTTTTCGCTGGGATGCTGCTATAACCTGAGCCAGCACTGACCCAGCTACCTCCCCAATAATTCATCCCTCACATAAAGGTCCCAGCTAATCAGCCCAAAATGACATCATCCTACAGTATGTTTGCTACCAACATTACTGCTGCACTTACCGTTTGATTTTTCACTATCTGCAGGTTTCATTTGGATAGGATGATGCATCTAAAAGGGAAAGAAAAAAGAGATTTAATGTTATTATAAACTTCGTTATCACAAATATATCACACACGGTGCAGTGGCACAGGAGTCAGGACTGCTGACTTGTAGTGTGCAGGCCCTGAATTCAATTCCAGCCCTGCAGTGCTATCTGCATGGAGTTGTATGCTCTCTCGGAGTTTGTGTGGGTTTCCCCTGAGTAATTTGGTTTCCTTTCACAGTCCTGACATACTAGTAGGTTAACTGGCTTCTAGGACAACTGACCTGGTAAAAGTGTGTGCATGTCTGTGTGTGCCCCGTGATGGACTGGTGTCCCATCCAGGGTGTACCCTGCCTTGTGCTCATTGCTTGCAGGGATGGGCTCTGGCTCCCCTGTGACAATGTACTGGATGAAGTGGTTAGAAACTGGGTGGATCTTATAAAGGTGGCTTCTTTAAGATGCCCAAAGACAAAAGCATACCAAAGATAAAAGGTCTGGTGCAATGGGGACTTCTTGCCTTGCATTTTTGAAAGTACTTAGAACTGAATAAGTATTCTACTGATTAAGGCATAATAATTTTATATTTAATTTGCTCAGTGTTTAAAGCCTGTGCTTGATACACCTTGAGAAAAGAAAACTTTCATTAAGCATGTCACATTCAACACAAAATGAGTTTCCAGAGTCATTGGTTCACATCTCATTAGCAGACCTCAGCATGGTGCCCTAGAGACTGCAGTCATGCCAGTCCATATGATGAACTTAGATTACATTAAATATTTACAGCAGAACAAATGAAAGGGTAATAGAAGTGAACAAAGAACAAAAAACGAACCCAGGCTCCAAATGACACCACATTTGCAACTGTGATTCATTATGCCTTTTGATTCATTTTGCTCAGTACAAGCTGAACTCCTTCAGGTGTTCTTTTTAAATCACATAACCAAACATATATCAGTAAGTAAATGTTTTACATCTAAAATGAGTATTGTGTATAATATAGTCACCAATGACTTTAGATACTCAAGTGAAATAAAATGACCTCCCAGTACATTCCATACAAATCTGAGCAAGTTAAAATATTAAAATATAACCTTAACATATTACATGCTTTGGTTCAAGTATAGTATGTACTGTATTTGTGCATCAGTATTTTTTCTTGTACACAGTAATGTTTATTTAAAAAAGACTTAATAAAGGCATTAAAATGCAACAAATGAGCTTGCGAAAAACAGCATTTGGTATATTTTAATGACATCAGTATATAAATAGAAAACTGCTCAATATAATGTAATAAATTGTAAAGTTATATTGTAAAGAAAGACTTTAAAGACAGGTGGTCTGAGACAAAATTATCGGGTCACTGATATTATGCATCATATTCATATACATAATATTATGGATATATATTACCATATTATGTAAAAATTACATTCTCTGTGACTTTTTGGAAAATACTGTTCATAATTTACATGTCCATGTTTTGCAGCAAAGCTGAATGTCGATGCACATGAATATATACACTTTTTATTTAAAATCAAAGGGAAAGATATAAGCTGCAGCTTCTCTCCTGCCACAGGGATTCCAGGTTGCAAATTCTAAAACTGAGTCCATGCTCCACATGTACAGACCAGACTGCCTTATAGGGGTTTGAAGAAGCTATATCCCACACAGGCAAATGTCACAGTGGTAGTAAAACCAATCTGTGAAAATGGGCAATTAAATCTTTTCCCCACATAAGACTTTCAAAAACATCTTTAGAGCTCTCTAGTGATTTGCAGGAAGCAACTGCAACCACATTCAACTGGAATAATTAGAACATGCCTAAATGAATGTGTGGGACACAAAGCAAGAAAAAAAGCTTTGGTTGTCTGGAGAACAACTGTAAAAAGAGCTAAACATGAGAAAATGAAGTACTGAGAACTGGGTATGTGCAAATCATTATGCTTTGTGTTGAAAAGAAAAAGGACAATGCAACATTTCTAAAAAAGTACCATGAATGTATGTATTGACAAAGAAGGCAGATTTACTTAAATTAAAAACTGAAATATATTTAAATGAGCTAATCTATTTAGACCATTGCCTTTAGAATGTTGTGCTAAATATTTAAAGACAATAGGCTTTTCCCCCTTTCAATATTGACATTTCTAAGTAAAGACAAGCTTACGAAGTGATATGATATTTTCTTAAATCACCTTTTACAGCTGATGTCTGAAAATAACTTTTGGATAAATACATGGATTTTTAATATTTGTAAAGTACTTTTCAGTCATCCATTCCAAACCAATCCCCTGTATTTAAATCAGCTGATATAATCAGAAAGCTGAATAAATTCTGCAGCAGTTTCTGTGCCCTGAAAGTTGCATAACTTATAAGAAAAACAATTTTTGTTACCTGGGGCAAAACAAATGTACTGTACAAGACCCAGTCCTTCACAAAAGTAAGACAAACTGCCTTTAACGCCTGCTGTACATCATTTATGGGTCATTTTATGTCTGGAATTTGTTTTGTAACCTTAGATTTTTTTAATGCAATATGTAGCGACAAATGTAGCTTTTATTGCAAATAAAACACAAGGGATTTTAGACCAGAAGAATGTTTCTTGTTTTGCTTATACAGAAGAGGAGGTTTTACCTTCCATTTTTCCCACAGTTTTTGTTTGTGGAATTTGTTGTAAAACTGTATCGATTAGGGGGAGAAAGCTCTCTATCTCACTGGGACTGTCTATCAGAAAAGTCTTTGCTGCAATACCCTGTGTGTGCTCTTTCCATGCTTTTGTTTTGTACATATACAGATTTTTAAGTTGTAACAAGAATCTCAATCTACGGTGCAGGTGTACTGATGTTATTTAGTGGTTAAGATAGCTGCCGCCCAAGCAGTTGACCAGATTTAAATCCCAGTCAGTGCAAGACAGCAGGTCATGGGAACACAGTGGTAGCTCGGGAACAAGCTACCAGCCATGTTTTTGAAGCCTTTCAATACACTGCTGGATGAGGTCCTTGGATCAATTACTGTACCTATTGTCTACCAAACGAACTAGATCGGTGAATGGCCTTCTCTCATTTGGAACCATTCTGATGTTACATAAATCCATAATGCTCAATGAACAATTAATTGCACACACCCAAATATTTTCCTCAATTTAACCATCCTGTAACCCGATCTTATCAGAGAAACCAGAGGCCATACCTGGTTAGTACTGGGATAGAAAACCTCTAAGTTATAGCCGTCGCCAGCTATTATCTGATTTAAACGGTGTTAATGGACCAGAATTGCCAATTCAGTGGACTAGTTTGTTCAGCAGGGAATCCGTGTTCTGATATGTTCAGCCACAATCCCGATAATATGGTCATCAGAGATCCTAAAACACTATAAAAGCAATGGTGTTCGGTTTAGGGCTTGCACAATCTTGCCTTCCTAAATTTCCCTTATTTCAATAGAAAAAATCATTTCTCTCTTTCACCAATCTGATATACTACAGTTTGTAGGGATCTACATAACCAACATGTGCACTGTATATCTTATAAGCGCAAAAAGTGAATTTATTTTTCCACACCAGTTCTGTGTTGTGTAACTATAAATGTTGAGGTGTCAAAAGAATGAGGGTATAGAACTCAATTCTGTAAACTTTTCACCACAGTTTCATAATTCTGCATCATGATGGAACCGTAAAATAAATCATACACCTACCAAAAATGTACTGGCATGCACTGCTGCCACTAAGAAAAAAATAAATCATTATATGCTAAGATTAGCACAGGCAGCACATACAGTACATTAAAATTATTGTGCATAGTATTTTGTCCCCCTTTTAATTTAAATTACCCAATGGAAACAGGACCTGCAGAATTAGATTGGTTAGATTTCCTGTACACTCAAAAAGTACTCTGACTGCTTGTCGTTTTGCTGTAAACTAAATTATCTTGTCTGTGTTTGTCCTTCACTCTACATGATCATCATCATGCCATATATTTTCTTTCCTCCATAATTGTTTGAAAATTACATACTCTGTTTTTAAGCCACCTGCCCAGATGAATCTAGGTACATTTTAAAATGCTGGCCATTTGGGAAAATTGCAGAAAATCTCCCATTTATGGCTTTCATTTCCAACAACAATGTAAGATGGACAGACACCAACTGTCAATTGTACAGACAGCCCTTCTGCAACCAGAGGTAAAAATTTGCATTTACCTGGCATGTTAGTCAATTTATTGCCCCATAACCATTAATAAAATTATGTTTACTAACAATTGTTAAAATGCAATTGTAAGTAAATGACAGTACAGTAGGAAACAAAGGAGCCACCCAGAACCAGTGAAATAAAAGCCCTTCTAAAAAAGAACAGCTGATTTGCAGTTTATTTGATGTCAGTCGGATATCCTTTGGGACAGAATCCCAGAGTTCTGGGGTGAAGCAGATGAAGGCCCCGTCACCTGGGGTTTAAGAGGAATGGGACGATATTCCTCAAGACAGCATCTGCAGCCTGGTGCTAAGCATGTGTCAGTTATACAGCTTGTAATATTCCCAGCCATGGACACACAGGCTACTAGCCTGTGACTTCCACACCCAACCTTAGGTTACCACTGAAAACACTGGCTAAGGAAATAGGAGCAAAATAAAATAATAATAATAATAATAATAATCCTCCACAGATTACTTTTTACAGATGAAATAACTTTGTTGATTACTTGAGACAGTGGACTGTAGAAAGCCTTTAATCTGGCAATAAACAAAAGGGGAATCCATTTTTTCATACGTGATTGACCCACTAAATAATTCCAGTAAAATCCCACTGAAAAAGATGTCTTTTCATTTTTATCACATTCTAAGAAACTGCAAGACTGATTATTAATCAGCTACCTGGCTCTGATGCAGCAATGTGAAACCTACAGAATGAAACGTTACCAGGGAATAGTGAAGTCTGTCCCCCCAATCAAGTCATCATTTCTGTCAATTTATTTTAATTGCCTTCCACAAAGTACCCTGCTGCTCTGTAGCTACCTAGCTACATCGTGTAAATAGCCAAAGA